AAATAAATAAAATAAATAATAAATAAATAAATAAATAAAATAAATAATAAATAAATAAATAAAAACAAAATATAAAATATTACTGCTTTAAAATATGTAAAATATAAAACATATGAATATATTAAATCTGTATGATATTAAATAAACACATTATTTCATTAAAAAAATAGTTTTTAATGAAAAAGAAAGAAATTTTTTTGAAAAAAAAATTTGGCTAATAGAAGTTTTGGAAAAGATATTGTTGTAAATTCACAAAGAATAAATATTACGTTTCTAACATTATCGATTATAAATATAATTCTTAAATATTTATTGTTATATGTTTTTATATATTATATAGAGCTATTATATATTATAGATTTATCATACAAATATTTATATCGTATATATATATGATAGATGAATAAAATAATATTGGACATGTTGTTAATGTTAATTTTATGCAAAATATTTTTAATAATTGCAAAAGCAAAAAATCAATTTAAAAAAAAAACAGTTTGATTAATAATTAAAATATAATAGTTAAAATATTTTTTATCTAATATTAATGTTTAACTTTTGGCTTTTATTATAAGCATATGAAATGATTATATATATCTTGCTTTTTAATATCTATTCCATTTAACATATAACATTTTATATATACTTATATATAACTATAAATATATATATACTTAAAACTATATACTTTTATTAAAAATAATTTTTAATAAATTAACATATAACTATTATATTTTTTGTCCATTTATCACAAAGTTATTATCCTCACCAATTCCTGGAATAATTGAACAGTCTTTAAGATACATATATCTTTACAATTACATATAATAATACTTTACAAATAATAATAAAACAAATGAAATCAAATAAAGAATCATCATCAATAATTTTCAGAATACTTACCTCGTCGAATAATTGATGTTGTCCAATTCTATGATAATTATTTTGTATCAATTATTCAAATTATTGCATGATGTTAATTCCATCATTACCAAAAACAAAGATGCAAATGTGTGCATTCTGTTATATTCCTGTCCCTATATTTATAATATATAATATATTTTATTTTGAAATGTTTTCAAAATTTATGAATGCAAAAAAATATTTGAAGCATATATTACATGATATTGAAAGAGACATATTATGGAATGTTAAATATTCTCAAAATTGAATGATGGAAAAAAATATTTGAAAAATATTACATGGCATTGAGAGAAACATATCATGGATATGTATTCGAATTTGCAATGATCTTGCAAAAACACTGTGAAAGTCACAGGTTATATTTTTAAAAATTATATTTTTTTATTCCAATTTTCTAGCTGAATGCATTTTTTAAGCATTTCCAGAACACATTTAATTTTTATTACTCTATATTACCTTATATTAATTACATAGGTCTGTGTCATTATTATTCTTACTTCCTCCATTTCATTGTCTTTTCTTGTCATCCATTTTCTTCTTTTTCCTTTCTTTTTATTTTATTCTTCTATTCGTTGGATGAACTGAAACAGAGATAGAAAGACTATATCTCTGTTTGATTCAGGAATCAAAGTATAATTATAAAAAAACTGTAACATATAACAAAATATTTAGTATTCAATATGTATTAAGAAAGATGGAAATAATTTAATTTTTTAGGAAGTTAATTTTTCAAAATTTTATTTTTAAATGATGCATTTAAAATTTAAATAAAAAAGAAAATAGCAAATAAATGATAAGATATATTTCAAAACAATCAAATCTGTATTTCTGCAAGATAAATTCATTATAACATTGAAAATAAAAAAATAAAAATTTCAATTTTCATTATACAAGATGTATCCTATAGAATTGGAATCTTATATATCTTCTAAATAGTTAGAGATAGAAAAAACAAATTAAAACAAATTTGAAATGAAGCATAATCTGAGTATAATTTTTTTAATCTCTATAAAAAAGTGTTAAACTATTCATAATATATAAACTATTCATAAAATATTATAATTAAAATTTAATTTATTTGAGTATATGTGCAGATATCGCGATTTATTACAATTTTTGTAACATGAATTAATTGTTATCGATTAGTGTACTAAATAAGACAAAGAAAGAAATATTATTATTGTAATGGTATCATTTGAATATTTGTTATAATGTAAATAATTCGTGATATTTGCAATTAGATTAATATAATTAATGCATAAAATTATATCCAGATTATAGTTTATTGAATGTTTAATTTTTAACATTTATTTTAACATTATTAATGTTTAATTTGCAACAATTTTTTCTATCTTTAATCGTTTGAAAGATATTCCAATTCTATAGGACATTATATACTTTATATACATTAATTTTTAAGTATAATGTATAATATATAATATAATAAATAATAAATAATTATAATATAATATACTGATAATATAAAAATAAATAAATATAATAAATAAATTAGAAATTATAATGGTATTATATAATATTATAACTAATTCATAAAATAATATATAATAATTCATAAATAAAATTATAACTAACAAAACTAAATTAAATACAATAATCATTAATAATGAAGAAAATTATATATCTTTTCTTGGAATATTTTTTGGAATATTTTTTGGAATATTTTTTGGAATATTTTTTGGAATATTTTTTGGAACATTTGTTGGATTTAGTTAAACAAAATTTGATGATAATTTTTTTCTTTCAAAAAAGGAATATAAATTTATTATATAATAGTATCAATATCATAATTATTTGTAATTACCTTTTCCTTCTTATTATTTTTGTTTTTTCATTTTAAATTAAATATAATTTTCTATTTTAATTTTATTATTTAATTAAAATGATTTTTCTTTTATTTTTTAAAATAAAAAAATGATTCATTTAAATTTGGGATAATTTTGTCTGATCATATAATTCTTTATTATTTAGACTATGCTTTTATAATTTTTTTTTTTTCATAAAATATTTGTTAGAATTATTGCATTATTAAATTTTTTTTATTATAGTATTCTTTAGGAAACTTTAGCATATTTATTAAGAATTATAATTATTTATAATTATCATTCTCTATTTTTCTTATTTTTCATTTCAAAGTTATTAGACTCACTAATTTTAATTATTTGAATTCATAATTATTATCCCCGATTTTATTATTCTTCATTTCGAAATTATTAAACTCATATAATTTTAATTATAAATAATTAAAAATTAATTTCAATTAAAAATTGTTTTTCCTTATTTTCTAAAAATAATTCACACTTCGTTTTTCGATGATCTTGCTTATTTGATTCTTCATTCAATTTCTGTTTTTATATTCAATAGTACTTACTTCTTCTATTATGAGAATTGAGGCTTTTGAATTTAAAGAAGAAATGTAGAGCTTTTTCAATATAAATTATTATTTTATTATAATTTTTAAATTATCTTATTCTTTTTAAATAAGAGAAAAATAGATTTAAAATATATTGATTCGTCTTCAATTCTGAACTTTTTATTTATTTTTTTTTTAATTAATAATAATGATATTATTATAATATAAGGAGAAACAGTTAAAAATGTGAATAAAACATTTCTCTCAAAATTTTATGAAATTATACATCCAACGTTACATCTGCCAATCGTTTGTTGATTGAACTTACGTGTAATAAGTATGAAAATACAGTGCGTATACACTATAAGAATGAAAAAGATCGGCCACTTGCAGGATATAATTAGAAATATTAATTTGGTTATTTTTTGGGATGCAAGGACAATACGTTGTCTCCTTAACCAAAAATTATTCATATATTTATTTCTCTATAATGAATTTTTACATAAAAAGAATACTCAACATCATATTGTTTCCATTGCTACTGTTATACTATGCAGAAATGTCGTGTGACACGATGTACTTAGTATTAATGGAAATCATGTGACGCGCAGTTAATAACTTAAGAATACAAAACTTATTTATTGTATAATCAATAATAAATATATAATATACAATCAAAATATATATATATATTAAAAATAACATATACATGTATACATTCTTAGATGTATTCTAAAAAATATGCAAAATATATGCTTTATGCAAAAATAAAAATATTATTCAAAATACTCTTATGATGAATATAATTCTATTTGTTTTTTTATTTCCTAAAAATATGATTTTGCACAAAAATCTTATTTGCAATAATTAGTAATCTGTTAATGATTTTAAAATATATAATGTAAGTATAAATATAAACAGAAGTACAATTAAAAGACTTCATATAATGTCTTTAAATAAATAATGTTGCTTTGAAGAACATTCATTGATGATCTTCTCTAAAGTATTTTTATTGTGATATAAAATTTCTATTCACTGAGAAAATGCATTATTTCGATCATAAGTGCATTCATCAGGTTGATTTTTAAAATATCGAAATTTCTTTGCTTTTTTTTTTAAGTAAAAAATTTAATTATCTCCTTTTTAAGTAAAGAATTTAATTATCTCATTTTTTTGCTAAAGTAGAAGAATTGTTTGTGTTAATTCAATTAATTTCATGTAAAACATTGTTCCATTATTGGATATATAAGAACAAGTTTTTATACAATTTGAAGTTTTTGAGTTTGTTCGAAATTAATTTTATTTTATTCTTTTATAGAATTTATTATTGATTTTATTTAAATAAAAATACAATTGAAAAGAAGAAATAAATGAGCATACAATTTAAATGTAAATTTTTAAATAGATCTTATATAGTAATGATACAAAAAAATTGCTAAGTTGAACAAGAGATCTAATAATCATATTCAAATTGTTATTCGTTATCTCAACTATAATCTACTCAAAGAACACAACAGGGATAAATTAATATTTCTTCATTGAATGTTTGAAGTACACATACGGTGTCCAATGCTTTGTTATTAAATGTCTTAAATATGCAAATTTGTAAATATTCATATTTGGAATTTTAAAATTTTTTTCATTAGTCATTGGAATAGAATACAGGCTTATGTTTTTCCATTCTTCTTCATAAATTAAATCATCGAGAAATACTCATTATGATATATTTATTTAATCCAATAATTATTCTCATCAAAAGATTATTGAAGTGCATTCGCATGTATTCAAAACATCTGCAAAATGTAATTTTAATTTTTTTTTCTCTAATTTAATATTTAATGAAACTCATTTGCAATATTGCTAAGATAATTTTGTTTTTTATCTTTCAACGATGAGTTCATCTAAAATCATCTAGTTGAAGATTTATGAATTAAAATTTTTGTTAAAATTTCCGTTATTTGGCCATCTATTGTAAATGGCCAATTTGTCCCTAGCATTGTTCTAGAAAGAAAAATAGTATTTCCTTCGATATAATGGCTGTTTAATGATTTTGAGATTTGTCTCAACAATTATTGATTGGGTAGAAATCTAACAGTATTGGAATTTTGACAAATTTGTTTTATTCCATAAAATTCCATAGAAGATCATCAATTGTTATATGGATAATTGGAATTGATATTGTTAAACAAATCAAAAAATCCTATGAGTATTTAAACTTAATCCAATCCGTGATTTTGACCAAAATTTATTTCTACTGTTTGATTCTACTGTTTTTTTTTTTTTAATTTTTTGTTCAAAAGATGAAAACAAATGTAAAAAAAAAATATAACAAAATATGTTTTTCTGTATTTCAAATCATTTTATATTTAAATCAATTTTTAAACATATATATATTAAAAATTTTTAAAAAACGATTTAAAAATAATATAAGAAATAATGAAATGTAGTTGAAGAAACGATAACTATACTATTTTACAGCCTGTGAGCTTGGCAAGGACGTTCAAAAAGAAAATCAGTTATTCGAAGGATCGAACAATTATCGATTGAACAAAAAAGTTTAAAGAATAAAAGATTAATATTATTATAACGTTTTCAAATATATTAATTCTAGAATTTAAAAAAAGTGAAGATATGTTCTAATGGTAACATTTTTTAATAATAAAATGTATAATAATAACATTTTAATAAATAGTAATATGTTGTTTTGTGCACATATTAATAAAGTTGTTAATAATTATATAAAATTATAAATAAAAGTTTTTGAAACAAAATGTTCACAATCATGAGCCTTTAACATGATATAGAATAATCAAAGAAACTTCTGGACACATTGATATTTCTGGAATAAATCATAGAATTTATTCCATTTTTTATGTTATCATTTTTGTGTTTTTTTTTTTTAAGATATACTAGATTAATATATTCATAAAATATTTTTAAATGATCAATTTTACAAAACAAATCAGTATATACAGAAAAGACGGTTGAATTAACTTGTATCTATGTATTATTAAATTATCAAAAATTTAAATTCGATTAGTGAGATGAAAATAGAATAAAATGTATCTATCTCTAACAAGAACTTAAGTTGTTGCATATATTTTGTTATCAAAAAATGGTTGATCGTATAAATTTTAAAAATTCAATTTTATTTTTTTAAAAATGAGTTCTTGTGTTTATTACTTTTTTTGTTTAGAATAATTGTTAAAATTATCCAATTATTAATTAATTAATAAATTATTGACAATATCTCTCTTAGTATAAAATCATTTTTCTTCAATGATTTTCTATATGTATGGAAGAGAAAGTTAATGAATTATTTCTTTATTATCTTCTGATAATTATTCAATTGAGATAAAAAAATCATTATTTAATCAAGATTATATTTCGTTATTTCGTATCTATAAATTAACAGCTTATGTATTGACGTAGAATACCAGTTATATAAGAATGCATTTCTCTTTCGTGTAATTTTTAAATTTTTGATGATTTATTAACAATATTATTTGTAAATTAATTACAAATCGTTTTATCAATATCTATATCCTGTTACTTCATTACAATTTCAATTATTAATTTTAAAAATGCAAAAAATTTCCTGGTCATATTTTCATTTATTATTCGTTTTTTCATCAACACTATTATTTATTTAATTTAAAATTTATATTCTGTATAAAGTTTAATAGAATCCCTTTAATATTCTATTTCATTCTATAAAAGATGTTACAGTTATTACATAATTTAAATCATTATTATGATATATAATATTATATTATAATAGAATGATATTTTGTCAATTTTGTCACTATTTCTCTGTATAAAAAAGTATTTCATATTTCTTATTTTGTTTGATTCAATTAATTTTTTAAAAGTTGTTCTTTCTGCAGTAGAACAGATTTATAGTCAACTTTTTCAATATTGAATTATAAATTAATAATTCAAACATTAATTCACTGAAGCAAACTATTTTTTCTAACATATATTCTATTATTTTTTATTAAAAGTAACTAAATCATCACAAAGAGTAATTCTTTTTTTTATCATATTTTTCTTTCATATTAATTGATCCATCATTTGTATTGTTGTTTTATTCATTGTTAATTTTATTTTATTTATATTTCATTTTTATTTTTAAAAGAAAATTTTATTAACCATATCATATTCACATCATATTTTTCTGTATCACATTCATTTAAAATGGTAATCTTTATTATTTTTCATTCATTATCCATAATTACAAGCATTATATTTAAATTAATATTTTTTATATTAATAATTTTATTGAATAGTATTATTAGTCCGTCACTAATATAAATTATATTAGGACATAACAGTTGGAGATTGCAGTATAATAATATGAATTTATAAAAATCTCAAATAATAATTTGTTTACACTAATTTGAACAGTATTGTATATAGTATTAAAAAATAATAATTATCAAGATATTTTTTAATTTAAATAATATAAATTAAAGTTCATATATTATATAAAGTTCATACATTGTCGATACAAATACATAAATGATTAATGTAATTAATATGATATATTTATAGTATATATTTCTTACAATATGATTCTTCATATTTTCAGCTATCGTAGATGGTTCATGACAAATATTATTTTTTAGAAAATAATCAAATGATGTGAAATGCAAAGACTAAGTCGGCCATATTTATTCTTTGTTCTATTTTTTACTAAAAAATATCTTGATAATTATTAGATTTTAATCCTATATTACAATTAAATTATCACACATTACAATTGAAAAATTTAAAACAATGATCTTTATATCTCATTAACGAAATCAAATAAACTAATTATTATATTGTAATCTTATTAATATCAACAAAATTTTATTTGAAACATTTTTTTATACAGTAAATATTTTATAAATTAATTTAAGTGACAAATTAAGTGATTAAATTTCATTCTATATATTAATATAATAATAAAATATGATAAATGAAGATTCAACTTCATCGATATCTTCAGATTAATAAAATGACATTATTTTTATCAATAATAATTTTTTTATTTTTTTCCTTTGTATTTTTACTGCAATATTAATTTTGTTAATACATAACATGTTCAAATTATTTTCTATTTTTAAAATTAACAATATAACTTAAAATTTTTCAATTACTTTTATTTATTTTTTAACATTTAATTCAGAATTTCATTTCTTCTTATTGAATTATAATTCTTAAAACGAATTATAATTAAAATTGTGAATATTCGAATTCGAAAGAAATTGAATATTTTAAAGTTTAAACCTAATAAAAAAATTTTATTTTATTTTTTTATGCTTTTATTCAAAAAAATTATTATT